AGAATACATATCATCTGTCATGATCTTATTATGACAGTTTTTTCCTCCTGGAGAGAATGTACCTACTGGCACTGCAGTAGGAGGATAATAAATGCAGATCTCCCTGCATCTTTACACAGTTGAATGTGGAGAGAGACTGGGACAGCTTATTTTAGAACTTATTTTCTGTCAAACACTATATACCCTGGGATGTACACTGAGCAGTAGGTTACACTGTGTTAATACTATGTTACTAACAAAATATATTTCTTGTCATCAGAGTGTACACATTTCCTTGCACATTTCACCGCTCAGGACTCTGGTGTAATCTTTATTAAAGTACCACTTTCATGTGGCCCAGTGGTGCTTTTGGAAAGGAATGTGGATTTTCCGCAGTGCAAATGGCAGATGCTTTGTACTTCAGCTGAATTATCATGGGCCATACAGACTGTTCTGAGTCGTTTTAAACCCCATTAAAACTTGTGGCACTCATGACAGAAATCAAGATTACAGTCACACTAACGCATAAAGTTTTGATGTTTGCAAATCCCACACTCATTGGATGTAAACTGTCATGACCAGAGTACAGAGAAAAATGTTTCTGATCTCATCATAAATTTATATAATTTAATGAGCAAACATTAGATTACAAGAACAAACACACATGGAGCATTTGCATAATGCCCCAGGCTGAAATTCAGTTACAGTGAATTATGAGTGAGCCAAATGAATGAGTGATTCCTTCCACCGCTTATGTGCTGTACCCTGCATCTTGTTGGCGACACCCATATAACACAGACCCTCTCTTTTGGGGCCTGGCATGCTAAGGCAGCTAGTTGTCCAGTTGTGCCAGTATTGACAATCAACACTATTGATCTGTTGTTGCAAATAACTGGGATAAATTGAAGGGTGAGGGATTACAATCACTGCATCAAGGAGAGGGAAGGAAAGGAGCATCTCGAGCAAATGATGATAACATGCTTGGCTGTGGGCAGCATGGCTATGAATAGCCATCCTTTATTCTGAGGTGGGATTACATTCAATTTAAATATTTAAAAAGGTTTCAGGGGCAAAGAGAAAATACAGTACGTTAAACAGTAGTCAGCAGGGTGCATATTGACGTTAGCATGATTTTTATTTGAAGAGTAAAAATGAAAATACAAATTGTCAGTTAAGGCACTTTACATGCACATAAACCAGCGATTGTGAAATTTAAAGGAACTATCATAATGTGTTACTTGAGAATTTGTAATGAACAGTACAGTGCATCATTTTCTTTTTACACCCACAGTCAATTTTTATAACATTCACAAAAGCAGCAGTTTTATCACATTTGCTCCCACGATGATCACATCCTGTCATGTGTACCTTGACTAAATCCTCTCTCTGTATTAAAGTATGTGTGCTAATGCTAACTACCTATGTGTGTTGCACTGAAGCCAATCTTCAATCTTTTTTAACCTTTTTGATAGAGAATGGATGCATATTTTTTAAACTTTTCACCACTGTATCTCCTGTAAAACTAAAACAGATACGACTGAAATCTGACAAATGCTAATGATCATGTTCACAGACTGTTGCTAAAAGTAACACTGAACTTATCCAGTGCTTTTATCATGTACTGCCTTTGATGTGCATTACATGAAGTGGGCAAGATAGCAGCTCTTACAATATAACGCAACAATACAATGCAGTCTGAATCAACTGGCCTTCACTAAGCTCAATACCAATTTTCCCAGAGGTAGTACTTATTGTTGGGCCTGTGTTGGACTGCATTTCATTGCACGGGTGTTCCGTTCTTTTTTCTACCTTCTGTACAGTATACATGTTTCATGTTGCATGCATTCACAGTTCAGTGGGGCTTGTTAAAGCCCCAATGATGATGCCACTGTAACAACAAACTGCCCAATCCCTCAAAACCTCTCACAGACATCATCCTCCAGCACTGCCTGAGGTGTTACATGCATCCAGAAAGCTGTGAAGCTCATGGTTGGCAACCCATGAGCATTAAGACATTAATCAGCGCCCTCACTACAGGATAACTAGCTCCCTGGGTCTCACTGCAATTTAGTCAAGCCTCCGAATAATACGTTTACCTACTGCAGTGTGCTGCAGGCTCCTTACATATCTTATTTCCCAGTGCCCCATACTCCCACTTTCTGCCAAAACACTCCATTGCACATTGCGCAGTGGGCAATGACGTCTAACCTCCCACTCTTGGTGCCTCCGGGTCAAATTAGAGGGCTACTCTAATAATTTCTCTCCAGACCCATCTTCATATACAAGTTGTCAGTTGGAGATGTGTAATTTTGTGCAACCTGTGTGTTTGGACTCTGTGCCAACAGTATTTCACAGTGTATAGTTTTCCATCTTTACTTAGGTGTCAGATGACTGATTAATGTTTATCTGTGTGTATGTGCACACAGCAGGATTTGTATGTTTATATCTAAGAAGACTTGTGTGTATGTATATATATGTGCAACCAGTACCCATATCTCTGTGTATATCTGAAATGTGTGCATGTTTGTACAGACTGTGTGCATATCTGTGAATCCAGATGTCTATGTACATTCTTATGTCATGCTGTGTGTTTTGGGGTCCCTGCTCCAACAAAGTGTCTATTCGTAAAAACAGTGTCAGGCTGTGTAATGAGGGCATTTCCCCTGTGGTTTGGCCCTATTTTAAAGTGCTGCCAAACTCTTGGTCTGCGCAAAGAAAGATTTGTGGTGTCTATGGGAGTGTCTTCACTCACTCACGTGTGTGTATATGCAACTACAGTATGTATGTATGTACATATGAGTACATGTGTGAGTGTATGTGTGTTCATTCAGCCACATTCAAATTGATAGTATTTACCAGATTATCACTAACATTTCAAATATAACAATAACTGGTCATTATCCCAAATCTCACTCTAAATCTATCAATTATTTACAGCTCAAAATCAAATTCCTTTGCAAAAATATCTTCCCTCTTGCAAAGGGAAACCTCTGTACTCACAAGGTTAGAAACAAAAGTTGCTGTGCTGTGAGCATCAGCAACCGGACATCACTTTTATTAAGCGTAGTATCAGATATACACTATTAAGGAATGTCCATTAAATTGCATGCTCAGGCATAGCAGTCATCCTCCTAAAGTGAATTACAAATTCTGCATTAGCTGTAGGGATGCTGTTCTATAGCTAAACCTGCACTAAACCTGACTTTACTGCTGAGGACAGTGAGCAAAGAATCATTTTTCTATAATCGACACCATACCTTTATTAACAAAACTTCATTTTTTATATTTAAAACTCTGTGAGGAAGTGTCACACTAGGGGGGATGAGAGAGTGACAAGCTCTAGCAAAAGACATAAACACTCAGACAAAACTACAAGGAAGGATACTAGGATACTAGGAAAACTATTTGATTTTTTTTTTCTAATATTACTATATATCCCTGTGGCCACAGGGCTCCCGGTTGATCTCCAAATTTGTTTTGGGATCAGACATAGATTTTCTCTGTCTTCTCTTTTTACTCCTCCTAGTCTACTGTACATCTGCACAATTGAAGCACTGTAGATAATGATACTGGCAGTTGGGAAAAACTGCCACGGATATTTTGAAGTAATTATCATAAAATGCTATTACCAAAGTGAAGCACTGAAATCTGAGAGTCATTGTATGATGTGGCTCAACTAGTTGAAATATGTAGTTTTGGTGTGTTTTGTTAAAAAGTTTCTGCGGCAACAAACCAATTTCTTCTGTGAATTGGGTTTGAATGGGAAAATAGAATGACATTCAGGGGGTGGGTTATAGGTCCATTGCTCTGATGAAAATCAACATGGTCAGACTTCCAACAGAGTCTGCTCTTCACAACAAAAGTGACTACAGAGGACCTCAGAGAAAGCACTGTTGAGGCTGTTGAGAATGACAAGAAAAGGAACTTTGAAAGACCCAGGCCTCCATCAATCAACACTCAGGCATACAAATGAAAAAAAAAGAAAGAAAGGTTTTGCACTGTTTCTCCTCTTTGAAGGAACGGGTATTCTGCAAAAACTGCTGCAAGAGAATTGTACATTATTCAACGAGCTGTCAAGGAAGTGTAGTGTCAGAGCAATGCATACTGGTTATCTCTTTCACTCACTTATCAGTTATCAGTGCACAGTAAGAAAACCACCAAAAAATGAGTTTGCCTACAGAAAGATACTACAGAGGACACTGTTGTTCTCCAAAGACAAAGTATGGCCTGCCTAATGCCTGTCTAAGAACACCTGGATGCTTTGTGGAACAATACTGTGTGGGTAAACAAGACAAAATGCTATATTTAAATCAAATTAACTCCATACCAATGTTTTAACCTCCATCTACTCCATATGTATTATGGTTTGGAGTTGGTGCCTCAGGGACAGCACATATTGCAATCAAATTGGAGGAGCAATTAATTCCAAATTGTTCTGGGAAATTGTAGAGAAAAATATCAGGGTAGTGGTTTTTGATGTAAAATTTTACATAATTTTCGTTGATAATTGCTCTTAACACAAAGCAATCAGTAACTCAGGGGCTTTAAGTAATAAAAAGACTTTGGCATAGTCAAGTCAGACTCCTGACCTTAAACCAATTAAAATGCAGTAGCATGACTTGAGGCAAGCCATCCATGCACTGCTGAGTAAAAAGTAATTGTCCAAAATACCTCCTCCCTCCTTGGCCTGATCAGCAGCTAAAGAAAACATTTAGATGACAGTTATTGACACTAAAAGAGTAACCAAACCTAAAGGTTCACAGATTTCTCCATGCCACTCTATAAACAGAGATTTCAGTGCAGTATTAAGTAACCTCACACATGCCACATAACATGACTATGATTCTTCTCACATTTTAAAGCCGAATATCAAATGCTTTACAGTGCACAATATTCACTATATTCATATTGTGCACGCACAAAGCATAAAGCTGTTGGGCGGCATGTATTATTCATACATGTGCTGTGTTATTAATTAGATTGTCTTTCATGATGATGCTTATGTTTATTCTTCTTTCCAGCTCTGACAAATGTAAAGCTGTGGGCCATTGACCGACAATGTTTTCAGACGATCATGATGAGGACGGGTCTAATCAAGCACACGGAGTACATGGAATTTCTGAAAAGGTGAGGAACCTCGGTAAAGTGTCCCACAATGATAGACAAATGACCTGAATAGAGCTTTGATCTGAAATGCAATGAATGAATTAGCAAAATGAATTCAGGAGAATGTGGCTGAGCTGTTTCTCAGAAGATTCCTCACTCCTAATTTTTGCCAATAAATTACATAACTCAACATTAATTTCTGATGCCTCACTTAAAGTGTTATTCATCCTATTGGAAAAATATCTTGTACCTTTATCATCTTTCTTCAGCATCCCTATCTGTATCAGAAAGCCCTTAGGCTTTAACTTCTTCCCTATAAAGAAACCATTATCACTTAAAAGGCCTGCAGACGCTTTTTGGGCCTGTATGGAGTATAGGATAAAAGATAGACTCATCAAAAGACATGGAGAACACAGATGCAATTACAGTACAAATTTCTTCTACCCCCCATCTCTGTTCGACTTTCCTCTTTTTCTTTTTCATACATTTTGGTCTGCATCAAGCTAATTATGAAATTATTTATCATATTTTATTATATATATATTACGGCTACAGTTATAAAGTCAAAATAATCGCCTTTCCTAACCACTTTCCCTTGACCTTGATAGAAAATGTCATGAGGACATTGTCATTTTGATAATTTCTTATCATTTATCATGGCTGCCATATAGATACTTCCAGGTCATTTCACTCAGTTAGGAACATTCCTAAGCAAAAAGGACTTTTCAACCACAGCCCTCAAGTGCCACTCCATTATCACAAGAATTTGGTTCAGGGGAGATATAATAGGAGGGGCTTCTATCTTTGCACTTCCCTTCACACATGCACTCCAATGTATATATGTGTGTTTAAATTTCCCAAATCACAAAAGCACACTCTGCCTAGGTTCATTTCTCCTGAACAAAATTTCAGAAATCACTGTGATCATGATCAGGCTCCGTGACTATTTGACAGAGCTGTTTCAAGGTAGTTGAATGGATAAAGTGCACAGGAAACCAGCTTTTCACTTGACATTTCCAACAAAAGTTCATACAAAATGAGTGCTTCCCTGATGTGCAACGTTTACAGGAAAAGTGCTGAATAGTTGCATTTGGGAACTACCTGGTAAAGGTTAGTTAAAGAAAATGGTTGGTCTTTCTCAACCAAAATGGTTGTATATGTATCTGTATCTGTATGTATCTTTACTATCTGTAGTCCAGCCAGTTGCTTTCACCATTCCCTTAGATTAAAAAAATTGTTGCAGCAGTATAACAATTTCATACTACTACTTCCTTTGCGACTGAGAGAGGACAATTATTCACAGTCACAAAATACTGCTAGTCAGAAAAACATATGTATGTTTTTAAAGGTGTAATGTGTAAGATCTGGCCAGAATGTAGTTAAAATGTTCAAAAAATGAACACTATCAATAGTATGTGAAGGAGCCACGGTGATGATGTCATAACCAAGACCTCCATCTATTGTATTCTATAGATGTCTACTGAAATGAGAATGCTAACTTACTAGCTGCATCCCGGGCCGTGTTGTAATACCACTTTATGACACTAGATGCTGTGTGAGTCAGTGTAGCGTCTAGTCTTCCCTCAGTCCCATGAAGAATAAGAGCTTCCTCCAGAGCTTGAAGTTACGCTACAGCCCCCGAAAAAAAAAAAAAAAAAAGGCCCCTGACTTGCACCACAGAAACGCAGAGATGGCTGAAGCACCCAGAAAGCGATCTTTATCTCCATCCCGAAAGACCGCCCTGACAAGAAACCACATTCAACAGCAAAGAAAAGAAGAAAACACGAGTACAGAGGTGAAATGCTGCCCCCTATGGAGGTGGAGCAACTAGCATGATCTTACACATTACACCTTTAAGCATTTCAACACAATAAAAAACGCTGTTGTTTTACTGGTGAAATATATTTTTGGTACCCTGAATAGTATAGCAGTCTGACATTTACAGGTCAGTCACAATACAGCCACTTTATACCTTGCTGTATCTACCCTTTCACCAGATGGTGAGACATACAGTACCAAAAATACATTTCAGGACAGATAAAAACACCATTAATCTGACTTTCCTGACTGAAGCTATTTTAGTGACAGCTATGACTAAAAAAAGACTTGTTATCTCTTTCCTGAGTGTATGAGAATATACTGTATGGCTGCTCTTGCCTCTCAGCAGCTCTTGCATAACAATCCAACAGATAAGTAAATATTTAATAGCTGTACGTTTGGACTCACTGTGTGTTTGGTTTATCAAGGGGTATCTAGTAAGGGAATCAGAGATTCATAACATTTGTTAATTCACAGTATGTAGATAATTATATTGCTGTTTTGTTTCCCAGAAGCAGATCTAATAAAAGAGCTGTAGTTTAAGTGTAAGAACAAACACATATTGATCCCTGTCAGTCTTCAACCCACTCTTTAACTGCTGTGAAATTATATATTTGTTCTCAAAAGTTGTGGAGGAGGAACACTGATGAAAAACTGACAAGAGAAATCCCACATGAGAATGCTGAGAGATTTTTTATTATCTCCTCCTCGCATTTATTTTAAATTACTCAAACACAATGCTCCATGAAGAGTAAATTCAAGGGCAGTGTATAATGAATTCACAAAGACCACAAAATGCATATTGCTGTGTATTGCTATTTGTAAAACTGGTGGGCTATTACTAAACCCTGAGCCCCCTTACACTTTATATCAAAGACTAACTATAGGACACAGAATAAAAACAGTAGTCATTTTAACTTTTTTTTTAGGTGTTTGCAAGACCACCATAGAAACTGTTATGTTATCTCATGCTTCTCACAGTCACACAGTGCAATGACTGAAATGATGTTAGAATTATTAAAATGATTAGTGGAACTGCACTTCCCCATTGGCCTTGTATAATTAATACATTTTCTGTAACACAATCAAGCTGTTGCATTGGAAATTTACTACAACAGAGGCTTTTTATTTATGTTTCACTGCTCGAGGGTTGCAACTCCATATGTTTCATTTAGAGTAGGGTCATCCGTTGACTGTGTAGGTGGTTAGCTAGTGCCTCTTGAGAAAGCCACACAAGGATCCGCACAGTAGCTAGAGCCTGGGTTGGGGGTTGAGGCAAGGGAGATGGAGAAACAGAGAGAGAGAGATGATAGGGGGAGATAAGCCCTTTGTTCGCCAACACAGGTTATTTTCTCTCCTCCTTGATAAACACTGGGCCATTTTTATTTAGTAAGCTTGATAACATGCAGATAGCGTTCATTGAGGCTGCTGGGAAGCAACCAGAACAAACAGAGCCTCATACTGGTGTATTCAACCTCAGGATCTGACGCCCTGCTGTGTAACCAGACACGTTGCCTGCTGCAATATTTATATACACATACTGTAAAACAGTATACAGGCCAAGTCCCATACCATAATATTGATTTTATGTGTTCCTGTTGCCTGCATTTATGTTGTTCACTTCAGATCACAGCTCTGCTTGGATTCTGGTCAATTGTTTCAAAGCCACTACATATACTAAGCTGCTGGCTACACTGCTTTCTACTTTTTATCTGGCAAATACACAAGATTAAATCAGTAATATATTTAATATGTATGAACCTACGTATCTATTTATCAAAAAGCCCTTTCTTTTCTTTCTCCTGCAGCGTCCCCACATTCCACGGCCTGCAGGAAGATATTTTAAGCAAGCTTGCCGATGTCCTTGAGGAGGTAAGTGCCTTGTTCCAAAGCCTGTGACATCTGCAGGCTACTCCACACGTGTTAATAGACTACCATTCTTTACAATCACTTTCTTTTACTGAAAGAAGGTAAGAGGAGGGAGCCAGAAAGGCATATTCAATGGGATTGAAGGCATATTCCAGACATTGTGCACCGACTGTAGGCAGTTGTAGTGTGCACAGCTGGGATTTCAGAGCAATTGTTGCCCTTTAGTTTGTGCTCAGCGAGGTGATATTGAATGAAATGGTCCACCAAGTAAGAGCAGTTAATTTTATGAACCTGTTCAAGAATTCAGTGTACTGTTTCCAGGAGCCATTTCAGCTTTCAATTTATTTGATGTTGTGGGGTGACATCAACTTTGACTTAAATGTCAGCATAGTAACCGACTTTCGGCAGTCTTTTTTTTTTTTTTTTTACAACAAGTTTTCATTTTTGTGAGTTTTTCCTACTATTTTTCTTTGTGGCATACATAGTTTTCCATTTGTTTTGTGTAGATATGGAAACTTACTAAAAATAACCTGTGTTATCCATCAAAATTAAGTTATTTTCAAATTCTATTATCATAATGTGGAAATGCAGTTCAAGCGTAGATTGATTTGAAAAGTCTGCACTGCATTACCTCATAACAATAATAATAATAATAATATAATTTTAACAAATGTAATTGCAGACTGTATGTTTAATATGATGGATTACAAAATCAACTTTCAAGAGTCTTCTAATTGATCTTCATTCCATATGTAAACAAATGGAAACCAACAGCTGCCTGGAAAGCAGAAAAATACTTTCACAAACCTGAAACCATAGAAAGCACTGCAAAATGGACAGCAGTTGTGATATGGAATTTGTCATAAATGGACTAATACATGCCAAATCTATGGTATGTTCTTTTAACTGCAGTTCTGCAGAATGTTTTCCTCATGCTGCTGACAGTCTGCATTTTGAGATGTGTCTCAACGTCACATTTTCTACCCATCTGCACACCACTTCGTTTGATGTTTTCTCCGGCATAATTTAGTTATGCAAACATATTCTCATTTACACTTTTGATGTTTGGTCTTAACATTGAGGCTTTCAATATGTTGATCTGCTTTCTAATATGGCCCTTGACTACTTTTTTTCAGTGTGATTTATATGTGTAGTAATTTATGTATCTATAAGCAAGCAGTCGCTTTACTTAAAAGAATAGGTTTTAGAAAGCCATTAAATATGGAAAACTTGTAGATTATTATAATTTTTTTAATCTTTAAGATTTAAGGAATTAATTGGCTGTGTATATTTATGCTCCTTTTGTGTAGGAGTCATAATTTCAAAAAAAGCAAAAAGATTTGCTTTATCTAGTAGTTGTATTGTGTGAGAATTTCTATTTCTGAGTACAATATATGGATTTAGCCAACATGTTACCATATCATCATTGATTATAAAATGGAAAAGCTGTCCTAAACTTTCTATGGCCCTTCTCTGTCCTGTGAGGAACAGTAAAAACACAGAATCAAGGTAAGACTACATACCAGCAGTGTCCGGCATCTTAGCAGAGCAGGTCCTCCATATGCATAATGGTGTTAATGAGGGGCTGCAGGCCTCGGGCTGAGTCGTCAATTTACACATCTCTGGTGTGGGAAACGGATTTTTCATGGTAGAAGTCGAGTTGGACATTACCTACATAAACAAACAAATCAATTACAGGTTCATAATATTCAACCAGCCTTGCTTTGCTTGCGACTTCTTGTAAACGTAGGAATGAGCCTATGCAAACTTGTTTAAACTTTCTTTGTGTCAAAATAAAGATTACCTCAATTACAGCGCTCCACTCCAAAAGAATATCTTCACAATACAGAAAAGCCGGAAATATCCATTGTTGGTTTGCGTCTATATTCAACTAACATTTTAACTGTTCTAGCTTGTAGCTACTTTGGTTTTAAGCTAACGTGTTTTTTAGCTAGCCTGCATCGTTTTTGCAACAGTTGGCTAACAATGCCCACTGAATATTTTGGTGATAATACTTGTTATACAATGTTCGTGTAAGTTTTGAGTTGGTACAAGCTCACATGCTCATGCTCACCATTCATGTTGTCGATGATGAACGATAGTGTTAGCTAAATTGCAGTTTACTGAGCTACAACGGTCGCTTTAAGTGCACAGGTGAACCCTCGTGTGTGTGATTGTTGAGTTCTCGGCCAGTAGGATTTCTCAAATTCTCCACACCAGTCGGCCATAAGCGCAGCCCATAAGCAAAAACACGTATGTAGTCATTTTAAGTAAATCTAGATTAATATCGTATGTGTTCTTTAGATATTTTGATTCTGTGTGACTTTACAGGACATTTTAATTGTGGTGTAAGTCAGTCATTCTGTGTCTCTATTATAGTAGCTACAGTCCTGGTCAAAAAATTGCCCCTGAATTTCAAGTAGGCTACATTTCAGAATATGAAAAAATAAATGCAAATAAACTGAAATGTTCAAGGTTATTGAATAAAAGAAAAAAAAAGAACACAACTTGTGTAATAGGCCAGTGAAAGAAAGTGAAACACAAAATGTACCCTGGACAAAATTGTAGCCCTTTTGATGTATTTAAATTAGTTCCTCAAACAAAATAAAAATTACCTAAATTAACCAATGAATGATGGTTTTACTGCATAAAAAGGCTGGTTGTTTAAACTTTTTCACAGTGCCAAAGACTAGAGTATTAGATATGCTATTATTAAAAAAACAGTTCGTAATGTTATCAAGAAGTTTCACAGTCAAAACTGTTCAGACGCCTCCAGGATGTGGCACTAAGAAGAAACTCAAGAAATCTGTGAAGGTCGGTGCTGATTGTGGAAAAAACATTTTAAGAGCTTTAGGTTGACCTCGAGCAATCTGGAGTGTTGGTTTCAGCCTGTACCATATGTTGCACACTGTACCAAGAAGGACTCCATGGGTGAAGGCCAAAAAGGACACCACTATTAAAAGAGAGGCACAAAAGTAAAACTACACTAATGTTTGCAAAAACTTTTATAGATAAGCCACAGCCTGAAACCAAAGTATAGCTCTTTGGTAATGCAGTGCATCAGTTTGTTTATTGGCGATGAAATGAAGGCCATAACGAAAAGAACACCGTGCCTACAGTAAAACCTCTAAGGGCTCTATCATGCTGTGGGGCTGCTTTGTTGCCTCTGGTACTGGAAACACTGAATGTATCAAAGGATTGATAAAATCAGAAGATTACCAAGGCATTCAGAGCTAAATGTGTTACCCAGTGTCAAAAAACTAGGTCTGAGGCAAAGGTCTTGGGTCTTTCAGTAGGACAACGCTCCAAAGCACACATCCAGCAGCACTAAAGAATGGTTGAAAAGGAAAAGATGGACTGTTTCAAACTGGTCAGCAATGAGTCCTGACCTAAGTCGCATTGAAAAGTTGACAAAAAGCCTCCTGCAAACTTGAAAGAGCTCGAACGCGTAGCAGTAGAAGAATGACAGAAACTACCCAGCAGACGGATGAAAGAAGCTTTGACATGGGTACAAGAAATGTTTAGAGACTGTCATTGTTGCCAAAGGTTCTGCAAACAAATTTTAGTGAAAGGTGCCTTTCTGAAGATATTCTAAATTAGGAACTTGAAATCAGTAAAACAGGGATGCCAATAATTTTGACCAGGACTGTATATCATAATTAGAAAAATCAATACTAGTGATTACAAAGATAAATGTAACCTTCTCCATCTTGTTATAGTAATGCACTTATAGCCTCATACTGTGTTGATTATTGAGAAAATTAATCTAACTGCTTCACTTGCAGACATTACAGAAAGGGAAATCAATGTATCATGTGAAAAATATTATATTTCAAAGTTCTATAGCCCAAATTCATATGCATAAACTTAAAAACAATGGCAAACAGACATTGAGGATATACAAATATTGTTCCCAGGTGTTATTATAAATAGTTTACCTGGTACAGCAACCTCATTAACATACACATAGTTGTCATGTAACACGCCTGTACTTGCATATCAGTATAGTGCTTGGTTAGACATGGCAGTATATAATTGTCAGTGCCATAGCACAGTGTTTGTGACTTGGACCATAGCCAGTACAATGGCCAACACCATAATGTATTTTTTATAGCATGGTCAATAACTTGTAACATAATTTGGACTGTACATGGTGAAACTAAAAATATCATCACAGTATTGAACTTTTATGTAAGATGGTGAAGGTAATACTGACAATGATTAATCAACTGAAGCCGTTCAGTGCAGCAGGCTGAATCGGCTGGGATATGAAGGGCAAGAGAGCCAAGAAAAGGAAATCTATGGACTTACATTTAACAGCCTTTATGGCGGTGGACAACTCCGTCAAGGAGAAGAGATGTTTGTGGGAGACTACAACACAGTCTCAGAGGCTGAATTGGTAAGTGGAAGGGGGAAACACGATTAAGGGAACGGAAGGGAACAGAAGTAGACAAAAAGGAGTTTCACAAATTTTGGTAGGTTAGATTCCGCTCATTCCTTCAGGCCAGGTTGAGCTATTCTGCAATATTTTATCAAGGATTTAAAAACAAGCCTGTGTAAAGATAGATGATACACCTGTGGTGTTCTATCAAAAAACCTTCATGTAGCTGTGATCAAATCCTCTTTAACCACAGGGCAGGTTAAGCTGCAAACTATTTTGCCAGTAATTAAACTGATGAGAGATAATCATTTAGGTCAGGTTGAGGGACAATATGTAAGAATGAGCTGAGATGAGGCACGCAGCTAATAGTAATGTTAACCCAGTGAAAATTAGATGTTTTGCATGACTTTCTGAACATGCTTACAAATGTAGCCTGATGTGTTTGCATTGTTGACTGAGGGAGATGTTAGTGTTTGGATGCTGATTTGCCATTGCTGTTGCCATTTGCAATCATCTTGCACAATAAACTTCATAGAGAAAGGAAATGCCAAGCTTGAAAGTAGTGCTAAAATAATCGAAATCTCTTAAAAATTGCTTTGATTTATCCCTTTGCTGTCACCCTCATAAACTACCAGTCACTGATGTGTGGTATTTGACTTTGCCTGTCCAAAGTACATAAGGGTTAATTCCATCACGCTGTCCTAAGTCTCGTCCTCCACAATAATAGATCATTTTAGTCTGTGATTGATTTTGATTAGTCAGATCTAGATAGTTTTTGTCTGTCCTCAAAGACATGCTTGAGAAAATAAACCTGAACTAAACATAACCACAGCGTACAATAAACTAGAAGCTCCGCTTTTGAGTGACACACAGCAGCCATGAATCATGAACGCGCTGCTCAGTGTGATAAAATACAATAAATATCTGGCAAATGTCAGCTGCGGTATTGAATCTGCTTATGATCCAATGGGAAATACTGAGCCCTGTCTTATGTCTAGACTCGTGGTCCAAGGTGCAACATATTGTGTATGAAAATCCCACCAGAATTTGTAACATGAAAAACAAAAACTGATACATGTCAACCTGAGGTCCTTATCAAGGTTTGTCAGTGACTGCATGTTCTTCTTGTGCTATGGTTCTGTAGAACCTGATGCAACTTATCCTTATCCATCCATCACTGAAGGTCATTTTCACCACTAGATGTGAATATGAGTGTGAAAGGGATTTTCAATCTATGTGTGTTAGCCCTGTGTTAGACTGGCGACCAGTCCAGAGCTTGGCCTATTCATTGCATGCTGGGATAGGTTCCAGCACCCACAACCCAGAACAGGATTACTGGGTACAGTAAGTGGATTGATGGATGGATATCCAGTATTAATTTTTCTCTTGGAAAGGAGCTACAGCAGTAGCATTCATTTTCTTTACCTGCTTATTCATATTCAAGGTCGCAGAGCATATCCAAGCAAGAAGTGGGTGGAAGGCAGAGAAACACCTTGAACAGCTTGCCAGTCTGTGGTATTAACGAGAAGAAAAATCTAATTGTGATTTATCTCACTGCACTAAATTCAGCCTCGTTTCATCTGAAGAGTGCAAAGTGTCTCTCTCCCAATGTGGGAATGGTATGTCAGAATAATTTCTCTTTTCTTCTCTTCTCTTCTCTTCTCTTCTCTTCTCTTCTCTTCTCTTCTCTTCTCTTCTCTTCTCTTCTCTTCTCTTCTCTTCTCTTCACTTCTCTGACAGACACATTATGAGGATGGAGAGTACATCATCAGACAGGGGGCCAGAGGAGACACCTTCTTCATCATCAGTAAGGGAAAGGTGAGAACAGTGCCTCTAGCCTACCACTAAAATAATCATCACTGACATCACAACGCAGGGCATCATGCGACACACATGGCAAAAGACACCTATCTTTTAAGCGAAGTTGTAGTATTTTTGGGTGGACGTGGGCTGTCATCAATCATCCCGAGAGACATAAGTGCCGCCTCTTTCATCATCTCTTGCAGCAGGAATGGGAGCATCTGGAAAGGAGCATGGAGTCACTTTCATTTCACCTTCCTGTCATCAGCACTGTTGGAGGGCTTACATGTGCTTGTATTGTTAACATGTTCTGATGCCTAGATTCCCACCATTCTTCCTTTTCATCTTCTCTCTGCTCGACATGTTCATCATATGAATCAGTTTCCTGTTTCTCCTTTCACGTTCCCCTCTGGCACATTTTACACTTTTTCTTTCACTTCCTCTCTCACCTTCACTTGTTAATGTTTTTCCTCTGGTCTCCACTACCGCCCCTCCTCATGATTGTTACATACATTTATCAACAATATACTGTAATGCTCAACAGTTAAGATTTAAGCATGGCTTATTAAGATGTTCAAGGCAGATTAAATGGCATAACAAGAGACTTTTGTCTTTTGAAATTTGAGTGAAACAAATTCACAGCATTTTCCATTAGTACACACATCCAGGATGTAAGTGTCATTGTAAAATATGAAGATACACCCTGTTCACCTACTCTTCTTGAGCCCAAATAGACCCAAGTGGATGACCTACATCACATACAAATCCGATAGACTCAGACATGAACACATGCACGCAGACACTCCTGACCTTATCAGTGCTCTGCGCTTGGTTATTTCCACATCTCAAACTTTGTTTCTGTCTAGACGGCAGACAGTGAACTTTGTCTAGAGGACTTTCCACCAAATCTGGGCGTCTCATAACACACACACACAATTTTACCTTTTCTAAGTCCCTCTTCTTCCTCTCTTTGCTTTTTTTTCCTGTTCCCACATGACCATATCAGTGTTACACTGTCACTTAGTTGTAGACAGCATTACAGTGTGCAGGTGCTGAATACGCTGACACACCTGTGCAGAACTGGCTAATGGATGAAGGGAAGATCCTTTAATTAGGCGAAACAGCCGTCTCCATTCACTTCCTCTAAAATCTACTCAAGCGCCATCGCTGTGACTTGTGAAGCCTCGCGGCACAGCACAGTGCCATCACTCACATGTCATCTGGCTAATGAAGTGGTCAGCGGCGCCTTGCAGATCACTGCACAGAGATGGCAGTCACCTGGTTGTAACAGACTGCCCATGCATGAGATGTCTGTCACACCAGCACTTCTCCCCGCTTGTAATAGTTAACCTGTCATCTTGAATGAGCATTTACATGTCAAATTGTTAACATTTTATTTCAGAATGACGTCTAAATGAAATGTTATCTATCTCAAAAATCCTCCCCCCTCTATGCGCCACAAATCTTCATACTGTTAAACATCACCTCTTCTTTCTTCACTTCTGTTCCATCCTCCTTCCTGTCGCACTCCTCTTTCCTTTTAAACTTTATCATTCTGTCGCCAGGTTAATGTGACCAGGGAAGATCCGCCCAATGGAGAGCCCGTCTACCTGCGCAGCCTCGGAAAAGGTGACTGGTTTGGAGAGAAAGCACTGCAAGGGTAAGGTTGTTCCTAATAACACTGCCTCTTCCAATTTAAATCTTCTGTTCTCCGACTGGTTCTGTCTCCTTCACCGTCACCTGCTTTCCCTCTCATATTCACTCACAACCTGTCCTTCCTCTTACACTAAACATGCATCTTTTCTGTCTAATTTGCCATCCATCAGCCCCTAGCTCTCATCTGTCTCCATTTCTTTCCACCACTCACTCTTCTCGACAGGCGCTAAATGTTTTTGAAATGCTTAAAGCTGGGCACACATTATACAACTTCAACTTACTGTAGCTGATCAGACACATTTTGTGAAACTCTCTGAAAAAAAAGCTTGTTAAGTTTGAGCTGATCAGAAAGAATGAGTCAAAACTGTCATAGAAATCCAAATGTTTTTTTCTTCTTTTATCAGCTTTGATTTTTTTCCCCTGTAACTCAAAATATGTTAAGACAAGTTTTGAGCAGAGAAAAGTTTTAAATGATTGGTTATGTAATGGTATTCCTAGCTGATACTATACAAACAGCACAAGTATCGCTTGTAAGCTATGTCACACACACAAGAAACTACAGAGAGGAGAAGTCATTTATTGTGACTGGACTTTTGTGTTTGAGAGTCATGCAGTGTGCTCCCAGCTGAAGACTCATTTCATTTCGATAATGTTATCAGCCCGATTTTTGAATTCTTTCGTCTTTTCTTTTGGTTTCTGTCATGGTTGTCGGAGTATAATGATATCAAGGACATCTCCATGCTGTCATTGACTGAAATAATGACTTTTCACAAGTTTTTTTTTGGTAACATTTGTGTGAAATATATGAGCATAGTTGCTGTTACTAACACAGCAGCTCAAGACGATAAACCTGTAATAAGCAGATCTAAACCAAGCGTGCACAGTCCCCAGCATTACAAACATTTATACTATGTAGACTTGTGCCAGGAACATGTTTTCTGGCTGTGATGATGTACTGATGCAACTTTGAAGTAACCAGCCTGTACATACTGTAGAGATTAAGTGATTCGCTACTGCAAATACTTTCAGTGAAAGAACACTTGAGTGTAATAAAAATATTTTATTTGGTTTCTACCGTCAAACACCATTGCCCTGATGTGATATTTTTACCCTGCTGTTTGTGCTGTCTTGTCATGACTGTGCGCTTCCACAGACAATGTATTATTAAAACTGAGAGAGGGTTGAGATGGAAAATAATTGGAAGTGTGTTATGTCTGTGAGTGGTCAGGTAGGAACAGATAACATACTGTGTGCACTCATGCACATACATTTGGGGGTATGCATGTGCATAGCCAATAGTGTCAACATGAAAAAAAATGGAGATGTCGCCATCTTGTGGTAATTGTTAAAACCACCTCAACTCAGTTCGCAAGCTCTTAACAGTCACACCTCAAGAGCATATTATAAACACATCAAAACACAAAGGAAGCTAAGTTGAACCAAAGCAATATTCTGAAAAAATGTCAGAGAATGTGTTGTCAAAACACATTATAAATCATTAGTTTTATCTGCACAAGTATCACTCCAGATATTAAAAAAAAGGGGGGTATTCAGGCGACAGCTGGAATTGCACAGATGGTTGGGCTCTCCCCATATGTTGAAACTAATGACAAGAGGATATAAAAGACGACAGAGCATTAAAATGCGTGCAGAACATGTGAGGCACAGGAAGCTTGATCTCTTGGCAGTAGGTTGTTTCAGATAGAAATTTGATCTTTTTACACTAATGAGATGTAAAAAAAAAAAACTAGCTGTTTGACGAATGAGAGTGTGACTCAAAGTACTAATTTATAATGGATTGAACAGCTGTGCTTCCTTTGTGTTGAACTGTTTGAATTTTCTAGGAATTCACTGATTTCTTGGAAACTGCAAAAATTTTGATGTATCACACTGACTCATATATTTAAACCTCTTTATAAATACATGATATATCACATATATCCTTAAATGCATAGTGCACATATGCAATAAATATGTACTGTTGCTTGAATCAGATTTCAAGTAGTGTGCAGTTTTGAAAAGCTCTTCAAAGCACCTTCGACAGCATCTCATGCTCTGTTTAATCAGGAAAACCATGTCTTTTGTAGACCCCGCTCTGACAAAGTGCTCTCCTCACCTCAGCGTCTGTTTGGCATTGTTGTTATCTGTTGTCAGGAACACCTTTTGTCTTGGAGTGTCTTGAGCGAGAGAAGCCTGTTCAGCTACACCTTTGATGGTCAAGCATGTCTCGCAAATTTAAATGATTGAGATGCTGGCCATCTTGAAACCAGGCTTTTGATCACAGCGCCCTTCTGCAGGGCCTTCTTTCTAATTAGAAGTTAACTGTGTGTGTCCTTGCTCATGAAACTCAATAGCCCCTACTCAAAGGCTACTCAGTCCATCTGAAGACGTTGCCTTTGATCTGTGAGAACAACATATTTACAAATCAAAGTCTGTTCTCCTGCCAGCCATAATGGTTTGTTAGAGCTTGTCTGAGTGCTGGTCTGTGATGTGTGTGTGTGTGTGTGTGTGTGTGTGTGTGTGTGTGTGTGTGTGTTTGTGTGTACATTACCGCAGCCAAAGAAATATCAGATTACATGTTTTCCCTAAAGGCTTTGTGTATGTATAGCCCTGAACGGACGCTTCAGTATATATGTATCTCATCCCAATAGGTGGATGTTCCAAAAAAAAAAAAAAAGGGGGAGCTCCGGTTTGAAACTCTTGTTTGGACGTAGCCAATAGCATATCTGATGTGACATTCTTCCTGTCACGATGAAGTATGAACTTTCATTTCCAGTGTAGATCCATCAGTAGCACAGACAATGTCTACCCTGACCTCCGCTCTTTAGTGTACTTTGTGTGTGTGTACATATGTTTCTCTGTGTGTGTGTTCCATGAGAAGGAATTGAAGGATTGTTCGAAAAAGAGTGATGTCACTGACAGAAATATGATTGGCGTCAGTGTCAGACCAACAATAGACCTGTGATAAATCACTATGAGAGGCTATGTTTGTGTGGGCGTGCTAACACAGGTACCAGTGAGAAAATGAAAGGAAGTGCAGGTTTCACAGACATCAGGACTACACAGCAGTTTTTCCTTATTTGTAGCTGGGTTTACGAAAAATTAACACAACAGCATAAGTTTCTTCTGTTTCAACAGTGACAGTCGTGACATTTTTTGGAGAGATTGCTGTAAAATTTTGTACACACACTGATGGCCCCCAGTCGACATACTATTATGGTTTTGGTGACTCCCTGATGTTTTTTTCTAAGGCCGCCATCCAACTATTGGATGGATTTCCAAGAAATTTGCACACATCAATTACACAATTTCCCCCCTGGGACGAATTATAATCACTTGTGGTGATTCTTTAATTTTTCCTTTGGTGTCATTATCAGATCAATGTTTTAATTTGTCCAGTAATTAAGTATTATTATGACTTAACACTTGCAAAATGACACACCCATCAGCCTCAGCTATACTTGGTGTTTTGTGATAAAAGCATGACTGTACCTATACTTTTTACCAGGTCTGTGCACTCGATATTGTACTGGCCAGTGTAACACATTGCTGGTTGAAGCACTGTGTTGCAGCAAAAGTTGAGCTACAATCAACACCTTTGCCGAAGTTTGCTATAATGGCAACCTTGCTACACCAACACAGTGATATCATTGAAATAAATGCTGCATTTTTAATTCTGAGCTTGTTGTTTTGAACACGGCCTTATAGATTCAGCGCTTTTGCTTTACTCCAAACCATAACTTCAGTCTTTTAATAGCTCATCCTCCATGAGTCACAGCTTTAACTTCTGCCTTTTACTTATTAAATATAAGTCTGTATGTTTTATATTGCTGCTGTATGTTCTGGTCTTGAATCCTCTGTATATTTTACATTCCTCTAAAGCATGCCATTGGTTTTTAGACTGCTGGAGACTTTATGCAGCTACTGCTCTCTTTTCTCACCATCACAACAAGAAAATAAACTATCAAAGGTCTGAAGCTTTTTAGAAGATGCTTGAGAAGCATTTTGTAAAAGTGAATCCCATGCTGCCTTTTTTTTTATTTTGGAAACACTCCACAATTGTTGTGTTGTGAAAAGAGACTGCTCCTTCAGAGTTTCCCACAGGCCAAAAATGTATTTTAGGTGTTGGAAGCCAATCGGGAGGGGTGGGGGGTGGGGGGGTTGAGGGATGAGGGGAACTGAAAACAGCATTAAGTATTGAGAGTCAGCTGTAGCTAGAGCCCTGAATTCACAAAATAACCAACAATTTCACAAGTATGTACCCTTCTGGCAGACTGATCTGTCAACTGCATGTTCAAGCAGAGATTTGTGAGAAACACAAGCACTACCACAAAAGGTTTTGTTTTTGGGCAGGCCATTAAAATAATTTACTCAGTGTGTTCAAGTGTTTGTGGCAAGCTCTGATGTCTGAGATTTGAGAGTAACCTCTCCCCGTTATCTTTTTCAAACTGCCCATGTTTGGTTATTAACAGCATAGCTTGTAATTAGAATAATGTTCAGCAGCTAACACTTAAATATTGAACGCTGGGGCTTGAAAAATTTGAAGCAATCTTCGATTTCATAAACTGAAGCCAGTGGCTGCCTGGAATAGTAAGAATTTTATATTCATTAACGTAAAAATGTATGGTATGCCTTGCAAAGTGGTCATACTCTGCTGTTATCAAGAAAACACCCAATTTGTTTTAAATGGGGGGAAAAGCTGCACAAATTTTGCTGCAGTCATTTACTTAAGCGCTTTAATACCAAAGCGCAAATCACTGTGTTTCCCACAGCCACCTCTTGTTCTTGCCCCAGTCCTGACCCCAGATTCACTTCCCTCACTGCAGGCCGTAGCTACTGCCTCACTCTCAGCCTCCAAGCAAGTGCGTTATTTTCATAACCCCCTTCCTGGGACATCAGATCACTGTCCAATTACCAGGTTCATTTCAACCATCTACTGGAAATCAACACCACAGGCTTCCTCCTGTGTAAGTCCAAAGGACATTCCAGACACAGCATGCAGCTGCTTTTAGTGTGTCTGTGCTTGTGCATGTGTCTGTTTTCCAGTGCATTTGTTGTTGCACTGCAATTAACAAGTGCAGAGCCATCTCTGGCTTAGTGGATGACTTAGGCTCAGCAGTGTGCAAATGAATCATTCTGACGGATATTGTTCAGCGATTGTGTTTCACATGGAACATCGCTTGTATCAACAGGCAATGGCACACTAAGTTGTTTTCCTCAGCTACAGTCGAGCAGTGGGGGACAGGTGTAACAAGCTGCTCTCTAATATGAAACCCTGGAGGTCTCTTAAGGATGATTCACACTTACGTAACCACTATTTCAGTATAGCCCAAAGTGTTGTGTTGTTTTGTTGTATCACCATGGTTAGTAAATGTCATAAACACTGTACACTTCCTTTTATGAGACAAATTAAGTCATGTAACAGATTGTGGGTGTTGCTGTAGCCGGAGCTCATTATCGCTGATGAGAAAAACTGATGGGTGTGTATGTGCTTGTACTAGAAAATATAGCCTATAATTTGTTAAAATGTTGTGTTAAAGTTAGTACAAAAGTTATTTAAAACCAACAAAGTTGTCTAAATCCTTTGCATGCTTGAATTATCAACTAATGAAGCACCTTTGTTGTGTCTTTGGAAACATATATGACATGAATTGAAAATAAGCTTTTTCAAGTTAGTTAGGCAGGTAAATTTGTAGAAGTGGGAGTGATAGCTTTTGTAAAGTGACTACAGCTGGCGGATTGTCACTGGCAAATTCACAGCTGGCATACAATAAGCATTTGTGCCTCAACAGCCATTAACAGTGCAAGATGACTCCCTATTCAGCTCCTGAATATTTGAATAATCATCAGCTTAAAGCTATGTTATAATCACACTGAACCACCTATTTAGTAGCTTAAAAATGAACAAAAGTGTATAACCTTCTCTTTTCTTTTCTTTTCTTTTCTTTTCTTTTCTTTTCTTCTCTTTCTAATTTGCAATGAATTAAATCAATCCCCCTGTTATGAGAACATTTGCCTCAAGCTAAGTCATACAATGTAACAGACATGTGTGATGAACCATTGAGAACTAATTCCCACTGAGTGTCACTCATCAAGACTCTAGTTCCCCAAACTAATTATCACACAATCACTATTAACAACCATGGTGTAACACATTGTCTTCATCTAAACTGGGACATTTGTTGTTCTTTCACCCATTAACCTGGTTATTAATACTGTAAGTGTTCTTATGTAAATGCTATCGAATGCTGTTTTGGGCAAACAGAAGAGCAGGTGGAGCAGCGTTAGCCAGAGTATTGTGTTAAGAGCATTGATGCAGGTTACAGGAGCTTATCAGAGGTGAATGAAACACTCCATGTTATGCTAGCCAGCGGGCCCCAAGAGTCATCTGTTAATATATCCTATGCCCCTAACACTAACACTGCCTTCCTCTCCACTGTTGTCTTCTGCTCTGTAGCCCTCACCTTTCAAAATTTGTTGTTCCTCCACCAGCTGCGGCCTTTACTCAAAGCGGTCAGCAGAGAGACTGAGGCAGAGTGTGTATGTGTGTATGTGTTTGAGTTTGTGCATGAGGTGGAAGGGGGTGGTGGTGGGTGGGGGGGCATGTGCGTGTGTGTGTTTGGAAGAAGGAAGGCAGAGGGGGTTGACATAGCATGAGGAGGATTTGTCACCTCAGCTCATTGAAATAGGTTGCCATATGACTGAGTTCAGGTCAGACACAGAGTGATTGTCAGCAGAATTGAATCAACTCTTTTCACATCGAGAGTGGAGCCTGTTTAGCTTTTGATTTGCTCCAGAGTATGATCTTTTTTTTGCTTTTTTCGAAAAGATGGGGCATGAAATAATCTGCTTATGGGGGATCCCTCGAAGAGTCTCCTGTCTTCTTGTAATATTTTAGTCTGCGTTAGAGTGGATAACACTGCACTTGGATTGGAACTGGAGCGCACCACAGACGTACCACAGGCGTATCTTTTGTTGGAGGGCTGCCCTGGGCAGTGTGCTGGTTTACAGTTAGAGCTTATTGCCGTGGGAGAATTTTTCAAAGTGAAGGATGGATTCTTGGGACACAGACTCAGAGGATTCATGCGATTGGGGCGACTCCTCTGAAGAAGCATCATCGTCAGAGGAAGATGAACTTGATGTCAAATATGATAAAGAGTAATGCCAATCATGCAGTGCTGTGTGTTGCCTGTTAAGAGTGATGTTTTCATTGCGTGACGGTGCCCCTTATGAAGTGAATGGAGTTGAATAGGACGTTACTGACTACATTGCTGTGCAAGTGTTTGGCTGGTGCCATTTTCTAAAGTCTGATAAAAAAAAAATTATATTGAATAATGATGCGAGTTAACGACGGCCGCACACTGTACAAATCAAATGTGCCTATTTTGCTAACGTGTGTGTGATCTTTTTCTCCAGGGAGGACATCAGGACGGCCAACGTCATTGCAGCAGAGGCAGTCACCTGTTTAGTCATCGATAGAGAGTGAGTATCAATAAAGTTAATCCCCACAGAACATACTGATTGTTTCACATTGCCAATCATTTTTTCTTTCTTTAGCATTAAAAAGAAATGCATTGGGCCTTTGGTACAAGAGCTCAATGAATGAATGCTTGTTCTCCTTGTTCTACTGTGATGATATATTTTACCATTTATCATTAACACATAATTGTCATTTATGGCTACAGTGGTCATTTATCAGCAAAAGTTACGTAGTGTTGCTTTAAATAACAGCTCATATAGTTTAGGAGTGATAAAAAAAACAACAACAAAGCAATCACCTGAAGTCTACCGATAGATCTGGCGTCTATGTTCAGGACTCAACTGATTCTCATCTAAATGTTTTCCAGACACGGACAGAAATAAAAAAACGTATTAGATTTGGACATGCTTTTTTAAGTGATGCCAAGAAGGCAGGTGTAAAATGTGTCCTAACCTCAACTTAAGTAAAGAATTTAGATTTATACCAGATTTGTGCAGGAATGATCTCATGAGCTGTTTTTTCACTTGTGTTTTTCAGGACATTATCAAGAACCACATTTCTCAGCTTCACATTGCCCTTTATACTTTCTCAGCTTAAACATTTGCTAGTTTTCTTTAATTGTAATAACATGACTTTTAATTTCATTGCAAAGTTTATCGTATTTTTATGGTGAGATCATCACTTTTAGAAAAATAATGTAGATCCAAAGATGTTGATATGAGGTCACTATCTGAAGAAGAGTTCAGTCTTTGAGCATCTTTGTCTTTTGCATTAATTTGTGTGGTGAGCACAGAGACTGATGGGTTGGGTGTGGGGACGAGATGGTATCAGCTTACCCAGGGCCTCCCACTGGCCTCAGGGAACACAGCATGAATGGCTATCCTCATTGCTAGCAGAGGGAATAGTGAGTGAGTCATCCAGCACAGGTGATTAGCTCTGCCATTCACTCTGCCTGTCAAAGCAGCAAGCAGCTATTGCTGTCACAGCCCACAAAACTAGCTCATTTTGTGCGTGTTTGCCACCCAGCCAATTACGGTTTGTTGTCTGTGCGCATTTTCATGTGTTTTCTGAATGCCCATGCATGTGTAATGCGTTCAAAGGAAACATTACCACTCAAGAGGCAAGGTAAGGTAAGGTAGGGTAATTGCAGGAGATGTGCTAGAGAAAAAGGAGGAGATAGAAACTATGGGGAAGAGACATAGAATAAAAACAAGCGGCAGGGAGTCACAGACTCAGTGCAATAGAAACTGTAAGAAGCCAAACATTTAAAGAAAAGCTCCGCTCGGAAACAGTCCCAGCTCACAGGCATTATGGTCTCAACAGGAGGAAACACCAGATGTACTGCATCTTCCGCTGACAGCTTGATGAGCCTTGAATGAGAACTATCTCAGTTTGTTGTTCTTCCAGGCTGGTTGGAGTCTTTTATATAGGCAGCCATATCAGAGAAATGAGCCAAAGCTAAGTTGTTATTTTTCATGTACCAGATCTCTCCACCAGTGCAACTTTGGAAGATTTTATTTCAGTGGGTTAGTGTAATGTGTAGGTTATTATTCTGCAGTTGACATCTCATCATCATCTTTCTTCATCATCTTTCTTTCACTTTAACTAAGTGAATTTTGTTTTAATAAAACTGAAACTAAATTTAATTTAATTTATCAACTCAATGTAATTGAATTCATCATTCAATGAATTAATCTAAACATTTAATACACTTAACACTTTATATGACTTTAGTCTTCATTACATATGTGAGTCTGGATGGACATGGATGTAAACAGCAACTTGACTGGGTTTTGGAGGCATACAACCACGAGGCGGAAGTTCTAGTTGTAGGCTTCTCGCTAAAAGCAGATTGATGAATATTTAATTGTAACTGGCAGTGGTTTTTATGACATGGTCATAGATTGTACCAGTTTCTTAGACAGATCGCCTGCATTTTGCAAACTGCTTTATTCCCTCAAACCATAAGCTATTCATTCACTTACTGAAAGTCAAGAACATGTAAATTACTTTAGGCTGGATAGATTGTAGATTCTTGAACCAACTAAATGCTTCAAAACATTTCGATTGTGGGCTGTTTTAACATTTACTGTCTGTGTTGCAGTTCATTCAAGCACCTGATTGGAGGTTTGGAAGATGTGTCCAGTAAAGGCCATGAAGATGCTGATGCCAAAGCCAAGTAAGACAATTAGAATTTATGATTATGTGTGAATTCATTAAAATACTCACTATATTACAATGTATTATAAAATTCTCAAACATATCTTATAGCTGTGTGCTTCAGACTTGATTTCATGTTTTAATCAATTAACTTCACAAATTAAATTTCACTTTCAATAATTCAATTTAAAACATTGGTATCATATTTGTGATTGCATGCCAGCATAAATGTTTTATAAAGAAACGTGCTCCCGGCCAGCGGTTAATGCATTGTGCCTTTAGCTCTGTTACATAACCACACGATACCCGACTGACAGGCCAGAAATCAGAGGCTATGACCTCTGCCTCTATTTCTGGAGGAATTAATATGCACTCTGTTTATTGTCGCTATGGAAACAAGAGAATAGCACTATAGAAGGCACAGGACACCTTGGCAAAGAGGTGGTCATCTATGGGTTCAGACAGCCACGTATTGGCATAATCTGATACTTCGCTCGCTTAGTGCTATGTTGTGAGTCAAGGTGAGGAGAAACAAGAACCTGGTAATGACAGATTACAGAGAGCGAGAGAGCAAGAACGGCTTATCACCACAAACAGGGAGAGAGAGAGATGCAGATAGATGGAAGGGTTGAAGAGAGGCAGGGAGAGAACAAGGCGGGTGACAAAGCACACCAGATTTCTATCCAATGCTTCGGATTTCTAGCTGACTGCTGAGTGACAGTCATGTTTGCAAGTCAGTGGCATTTAGTGAGCAAAGAGCAGAACATAACACCAGTTAATGTGTTGTATAGAGGCACTGAGGAAACAGAAGATGGGTATAATTGGGGGAGGAGGGGTGGAGGGCTCAGTGGCTTGTGCCTGGCATTCAGTCCTGGCCAGGTGCCCCTTATGGCTCACTACCACTGATGAGTGCCCTGCCAGTAGATGTGTGTGGTAAAAAGAGACCTGCAGTGTGCATTCACTACACTATTCTTCTCACGTCTAGGTCTAAAGGAGAGCTAATCTAAGATCTAAGATTGATTTTCTGCAAATAAACAACAAATAATTATTTTCGCACAACTATCATTTGTAACCTTCCACATCCATCCTGTTCTCTTCTACTTAAAATAGAGCCGCTCTCTCCCTCTGCTCCCTTAAATCTGTCACATCAAAGCCACTTTCACCCTGATTAAGGTAGCTTCTTCTTGCCGTACGCTAAATCTGTGTGTGTGTGTGTGTGTGTGTGTGTGTGTGTGTGTGTGTGTGTGTGTGTCGTCTCTTGCTGGCCCTCCCTGCCCAGCAGAGCACATTTGTGTCTTGGTGAGGAAAACCTGAGTCAAGGTCCCACAGTGATGGAAACTATCTCTAATTGGTCACAGTGGAGAAGCTCTGTGCAGCAGCACTGTTGCTATATCGCAAGCTACAGCTGCTCTCTGCGAGGTTGACAGGTCTTTTCTTCAAAGACTACCTCCCTGCTATGTGCTATGTATGCACATTGTTTTTGATTAAGCCGCCGCTTCTCTCTGCAGGGGGAAGCTCACGCTACACAAACTAGAGTGAATACATCTATTTCTGCTGTAATGTTTCACTTGTATTTCTACGCACATAAAACTTGGTCTGGCCTTTGAGTTACAGTTCCAACCTAGAAAAGCAACGTCCCTGGTTTGCATCCAGATCTCTCTCTCCCCTCATGTCCTGTCATCTCGACTGTTTACTCTCTTATAAAGGCATGAAATAGCCCTAAAAATCATTTTTAAAAGCTGCTGTTTCCTGGTGATTTTGTGGAGTAATTTAAACTGTCCTCTCATAGGCCAGCAGCTGATTTCATCGTCTTTACTTTTGTGGTGAAACGGGTTTGTTTTTTCAATTAACTCTTATTAAAATGCCTCAAATCCAAGTTTATGACACTTGCAGATACCCTGCACTGAGTATAAATAGACTGCTTTACATTTCCACTTACATTTCCTGCTAAACATGGCACTTCCAGCAAGAAAACTCTATGTGATTGAAGATTGATGAGATAATATGAGCCAGTATGAGTCAGCATTTCTGTCTGTTGAGCAAGTGTGGTTCAATAAGCAGGAATTGCTGGTAAATAAAAGTGTCATTTAACGAGAGTCAGCTTCAAGGTCGGATATGCTTTCTTCTCCTCCCTCCTCTCCCTTGAGTCAGGCGAGACCAAGAAAAACCGGAGCAAAGGAAATGAGGATAATAGCACTCAAACACTCTCGCAGACACATACACACACACACACACACACACACACACACACACACACACACACACACACACATACACAGTAAGACACATGGGGATTGCATCATTTTATATGATCTCATCCGTTTACTGATACACCTTATCACCCACTGGGGTGCTACTTGACCCACAGTGGAGCACTTTGTATAGCAGTGCTAGCAATGGATTTGCCAAGTAACAGTAATAAGTAATATTTTATTTCAGCTTCATATAAGTGCCCTCAAAATACGTGCACTATATAACTCTCTGTGTGTGTTTTCATTCAAGGTCAGGGTTTAGACATCTATTTAAGGTGGATGTATGGCTTCAGTCCCACTGGGTCTGCTCACCAGTTTCATATTCCAATTTCCAACATCTAGTGTTTCAGCAAAGGACATAGACAAGTGCTGTATTTTTGCCTAGTTGAAAAAAAGAAATCTATCAGAGCATTTCTGTTGCTGCTGCAGTAAGAATCTCCACTAATGATTGACTTCCCAGAGCTTACTGTATGTGTCCTCAGTTAAGACACAATGCGATGGCAAGTCTTTTTCCTGAAACAAAACTATTCATTACAGTCCACTAACAACTTCTCCAGTTGGTTTAAAGGTTGTCTTCTTTTATTCTCTTTAAGAAGGGTCCATCTTTTGCTCAGAATAGAACATAAGAGTCGTTTTGTTTTTCATGTTCTAATTAATACAATAGCTTCATTTTGTGGTTCAACGTTGAATGGCATGCTCATCAGCTTACCTACCTTGATCCATATAATGGGGCAACACTGCCATCTGCTGGGAAATTACTACTGTTACTATTAAAGCTTTTTGAGGACCTTCACAATGTAAAATGATCCCCTGATCCCTTTAAATCTTGACAGAATTTGCAAGACCTCCTTCATTAAGAGGATCCAAACACATGCCCACACATCACAGACTCTGTGTGTGTTTTTCTCTGCGTATGTGCACTCATAAATCCATGTAATGTGGATGTGGCGGTCACCTTGACCTTATTAATAATCCTGTCTTAAACACAGTAAATCATGTCCTCTCAATTACTTCTCTTCGTCCTTTTCTTAAGCAGAGAGTGTTTTCTGGGCTGGCTTCCAGATGATGGGAGGGGAGAAAAAGATGAAAGGATCACCTGGGAGTCTCACATGCCTATATACACAGACAAATAAACAGTGACTGTCCTGGTAACCTCATGTGTTTCTGAGAAACACAAGCTCAGTAACCTGCCACCACGTGCAACTGCAATGCCCACTGACATTCAGCTTGGGGAAAAGGCTTTATTGTTCTGGCTTGCAGTGTAATTGTTGTACCTGGTGGATCCTACAGAGTGAAAGTCCCTTTCTTAGCATGAGCTTAGCATGAAGTATGATGTCTCATTTGCCATTTTATTTATCAAATTCAAATCCAGAACATTCCTCATAAAATTAGTCAATGTTTAACTTACTTTCATGTAAATAAACTTAACCTCTGCTGCTCCATGAAGGAAGAAACTTGTAGAGGTATTTTTGATAAATGTCTGTTATTGGCAGACGTGCCTGTTTTTGTGAGAGGGAGAGAGAGAGAGAGAGAGAGAGAGAGAGAGAAAGAGGAAAGGCCTGACGATGATAGTGAGTTCCGAGTGACCCAGAAAAACCTGTCCAGGCTCAGATCTGTCCTAAGCCCACTGATCCAGAGACTGAGCTGATGAAACTCTGTCTGGATCAAACAATAACCAGAGAAGACATGGGGCATCTGAGGATAAGGGATGGACACGTGGAAACAGTCTCCCCTGCCAGCGTGTGCAGGTCAGCAATGGCATGCTGGGGTGGTCAGTGGCAGAGCCAAGGCATGTCTTCAGAGCCAGCTGAGTACTGAACAGTTCATGCACCGGACACCCCGTCTTTGTTCTTTCCTATCAAGAATGGGGACAGGCTGGGGACAGTTAGTCTGTGTTCAAACGGAGGTCAAAGTGGTTTGCCAGAGTATGAAATACAAACACATCCTGTTCACGTGTTCATATTTATACACTCCACATCCTCTGCAACATCCTTGATAGATTACTATGAGTTAAATCCTCTAAGATTTGCAAACAAATGAGCTCTAGGAGAGACGGATACTTTGTCTCAGGTTGTTGAAAGTGGATTATCTCTTCTTTCACCCTTCCTCTCATCTCTAATCCTGTCCCCATTCTGTCTTTTCCCTGCTTTTCTCGGTACAACAGGTATGAAGCAGAGAATGCCTTTTTCTTCAATCTCAACCTAGCTGACTTCAATATCATCGACACTCTGGGAGTTGGTGGCTTTGGACGTGTTGAGTTGGTAGGAGGCACTGTACTGTGACAGTAACATGAATGATTTCTTTTTTATTTATTTTTTTTCCACATCTGTGTAATTGCTCAACAGGCTGCTCAGGTGAATGTGCAGGCTGATCTTTGTGTTTGAATTCCTTCCTTTCCATCTCACTGCAGGTTCAGCTCAAGAGCGATGAGAACAAAACCTTCGCCATGAAGATCCTGAAGAAACGGCACATTGTGGACACGAGACAGCAGGAGCACATTCGTTCAGAGAAGCTCATCATGCAGGAGGCCCACTCTGACTTCATTGTTAGGTACACCCCCTGAACAGCTACACTGAAGGGAAATATAAATAATCTAGTGTATATACTATACATGTCATAAGGATCAGTACAGCCAGAAGTAACTGGGCTTGATTTTCTTTGTGGAGCTTGCAGGTTCTCTGTCATGTTAATAAAGGTTTCCTCCCACATGTACGTCAAGTATATTGCTTAGTACTATAAATGCAGAATGAATGTGAGTAGGAGTGCTTTGTGTGAACCTGTTTTTTCTGCTTTCTTTGCTCCATTGTGCTGGAAAATGCTCCAGCATCTTGTGACCCTGAAAGAGAAAAAGGAGCCACAAAGAATTAAAATTTTTTTTGCATTCATTAAATACTATATAAACCATTATGCAACACTATATAGAACACTATTTAAAAGTTCAGCTGCCCTTTCAAATCCACTAGTTGTTGCTGCCTTAAGCTTGAAATAAATCTAACTTTTCTTACAATCATTTGGCTATAGTAACAAAAGTCAAGTAAACAAAAGATGGTCATGTTTCTGACCATACACAGTGTTAAATAGATAAATGAGTCATTTTGATCTAAAATTGCCTCCTATACAACTAGTGGTAGCATTTGTATTGATTAAATAATTACACTCCAAAGCTTGCGTAAATATACAATTTTAATTTACATCGACTCCTAAATTGGTGTCAACAGTCATTTTGCAAGATTAGGTATCTTCTTTTAATTTTGGAATATTCATTTTGGACTCTCCACATTGATTCATTGCACTTGTCCAGCGAGACATTCAACAGATATTTTTGCATTTGACAGCTGTTTAAGATAACATCCACTTTGTGTTTTCAGACTTTATAGAACCTTCAAGGACAGCAAGTACCTCTACATGTTGATGGAAGCGTGTTTAGGAGGAGAGCTGTGGACCATTCTTCGAGACCGGTAAGCTGTGTTTCTCCAGGCCAGATACAACTGAACTGTGTCATATTTTTGTTTCTGCTACTGACACCAAGAATGAGTATTACAATGAGTAGAGTGTTGAAATTTCAGTAATAGAGCCAAAACCTCAAGTATTTCAGTCCTGCTCATTCGCAAGATTGCCAGTGCTTTTCCCTTCAGTTTTATTCATACATTCCACATTTTGCTCAACATGAATTACAAGTTTAGACATGTGTGGTTCAAATGTGTTAAAACATGTGGTGATTAGATTGTTTTCCTGACAGATCTTAATTTGTTTTTAACACCTAAGATAAAATCTTCATTGGAAATCTGTTGTGGGATCCATGAAGAGACTGAACCTTCTAGTTGGTCTAAGAAACAACTTCATTATTGGACTACTGCAGACTATCTGTCAGGAAGCAGCCAGGACCTGTCTGCATCGTCACTTACTTTATTCACAGTTCAGCTCTGTTGCCTCTCTGTGTTTCCAGGGGTTCATTTGAAGACTCAACCACCCGATTTTACACAGCTTGTGTGGTAGAGGCCTTCGCCTACCTGCATTCCAAAGGAATCATCTACAGAGACCTCAAACCAGAGAACCTTATATTGGACCACAGGGGCTATGCCAAACTGGTAAGAGATCAACATGGAACCACCACTCACAAAACCTCTGAATCTCATTGTCTATACTTTTTGAGAAGAGTATGGTGCAAACATACAGTCCTACACACATAAGAAAGAGAGAAACCTCATCTTTCTATGATGCTACGATGAAGGATGAAATTAAATTTGAACACTTTCCTCATCTTGATGGTGAAAAAAGTATAATTATAGTTTTAAAAAGTTATAATTGAGGTTACGTCAGGTTCTGTATTTTTACTGGGGTACCCTTCTTTCCTTATGGAGAACCCGTTTGTAGCTTTTGGCCGAGCAGCAACCAGCTGCTCGATTCCATCTATCCATCCTGCCATAACATCAAATGAAAAAGTGTCATATTGAGACAATTATACTCCATCTCCAGCTTCACAATCATTCTACATAAAAATTAATACGATCTGATAAAAATAAGGACCAATTTGATATGTAATTAATTCTAATTCTTTTTCAACTTGACAGAACTGACAGAACAAAATCTTTCTTTACTTCAGGTGGACTTTGGTTTTGCCAAGAAGATCGGGTTCGGGAAGAAGACGTGGACCTTCTGTGGGACGCCGGAGTATGTAGCACCAGAGATCATTCTGAACAAGGGCCACGACATCTCAGCTGACTACTGGTCTCTAGGAATCCTTATGTTTGAGCTCTTAACTGGCAGGTACACACAAGCCTGGGCATGTACATGAAAACTCATTTATAAAGTATTTCCTGTCACTGGCATATACTGTATGTCCCGATGCACAGCAAATCAAACAGTTAAACGACAATTGAGTAAATTCTTGTTAGAAGAAAATTATCAATGCATTTTTTACACAAAACTACTATGTTTGCCTCGGTTATGTAGCCCTCCATTCTCTGGCCCCGATCCTATGAAAACCTACAACATCATCCTGAGAGGCATTGACATGATCGAATTTCCAAAGAAAATTACCAAAAATGCTGCCAACCTAATCAAAAAGCTATGCAGGTGAGTGTTGCCTCCAGCAGTTTCACTCAGTGTAATTCAGTTAAGTGGTCCATATGCTGAGTAATCTTGTTGTTATTCTACTACAGGGATAATCCTTCTGAAAGACTGGGAAACTTGAAAAATGGTGTCAAAGACATCCAAAAGCACAAGTAAGAATGCTTTTAAATGAATATGATCTTCTCATTAATTCATCTCTTTTTATAATATAATTGTGCAGTAAAACATAATTATCAACTGAAGTATTAATGCTGCTTTTTCCTTTAGATGGTTTGAGGGCTTTAACTGGGAGGGCTTGAAGAAGGGGACACTGACGCCTCCTATTATCCCTAATGTAAGTGTGCACTGCTGATAGCCTCACACGTTATTCATTTTCTATCTAATTGCTCTGTTGCAGTGAATCTCTTACTCAAAACTCACTTGTTGGCCAATTATTTAGTCTTTATGTGAATTATTTTTCTGTCTTTCTACCAGGTCACATCAGCAGTCGACACGAGTAACTTCGACAGCTTCCCAGAAGACAATGAGGACCCACCTCCTGATGACAACTCCGGCTGGGATGTTGATTTTTGAAGTCCTCCTCTCCCCTTAAAACCAAAAGGAACTCATCTTTTGTTGGCTTGGAGGCCATCTTGACGACATGGCTGTGTTGTAAAAAAAAAAAAAAAAAAACTGCTTTAAAAAAAAAAAAAAACTGCTTTAAAAAAAAAAAAAAAAAAACTGCATTAAAAATGAAAGAGAAGATATGGAGAAGAAGATAAACACATGGATGGCAAACCCTCTGGGTCACCGATATGCCTTTATTTCACTGTGGCTCTGGATCAAGCATTTATAATGGGACTGCTGTAGCACTTCTTCAGTGTTGTCTTACACTCAGCTCTAAAGGCGCAGGCAAAGAAAGTGCAGGGATACACACACACATACACATAAACACAATCCAACAGAGGCTGATAATGGAGCCAGATTTTTCCCAGGTTAACAGAGAAAGATGTTTTGTGGGTGAATGAATGATCAATAGTCAAGTTTTGGTTATAGGATAAATAAAAGTATGAAAAGTGTGATGATTGACTGCTCAAAAAGAGAAGAAGCTGATGACTGATTTTTTTTTTTCTCCGTTTGTTTCTCCGCAATATTTGGTGAAATACTTGGTGAACTTCGGGAGGTTATAACATGTTACTGCAGTTGTTCCCTGGTTTTTGACATGCAGCTGCTTGCTGCGAGTTTGGATCCTTTTCAGAGATCTACACACTACAGTCTGCAAGTAAACCTGGCATCAAGTGCTCAAGACTAACCTGAATGTCACTGATTTTCTTCTCGTTTAACATCCATACGGCATACAGTTTGTACGGTACATAGTATTTGAATTTACAAGTTACATTCTCACAAATGAACACAACCGGGCTGAAATCAAATACTTAGTACACTTTACATAAAATAAACCTACCTTGAAAAGCACAAACACTGTGCATCCAGTCAAAAGAGACGTGACTCTTCAAGTGCCCTACTTAAATTTTAATGAATCACACACACCGACACACATGAAATGTCAGCTAGAGTTTCCATGAAGCAATCTGTCATTATGCACTTAAGACCATTAACTGAGAAAATCAGCAGTTCTAGGTAATTTTAAGCTTCAGTAGATGAAGTCACACTCTTTGTTTGTTCTTTAATACGCTTTTAAACACGCATATGAACGCTTCTCTACCTACATACTTCTTAAATTTGTTTTTTAAATCACCCAAATGCCTCTCCCCATTCAACCAAACGGGACATCCTCTGTTTGCTCCTGTATAGTTCTGATATAACTGTGAAATTGGTTTTAATGTCTTTGGTGCTGTTAAATTGCTGATAAATTATGATAAGCGATGGTGAGATAACAGTACTGGTTATTGTTTTTGTATAGTGATTTTTTTTGTGCTTGGTTTCTTTGTAACGTACTTGACTTCTTTTTCAAAAATTGGAGACTTGTGTCAATTTGTAAACTTGAGTGAAGATTTGTTTGATATCACTTGACACCATGTTACATTGTGCTAAGTGGTATTTTCAAGGTGTTTTAATAGGTTTAACCATGTTAAGTTCATTCATATAAATTAACCATCCTCATCTTTGGAGGCAAAATTTACCACGTCCACATTATCTTAAGACTTCCAACACTTTAACAATTTAAAAGTGTCTCCTTCAGACAGATGGCAAAATTAAAAAAAGAAAGGCAGATTATATTTTGTGAAGCTCACGGCTTTGACCACTAACTCCATGATCTCTCACCCAGCTGATCACCTAAAAAGCATAACAACATAAAATCAGAAGAAATGTAAGTGCCTTAAATCAATGGCATACAAAATTAACATCGCAAGACCTTTTCGATGCTGCATGAACACATATACACCTCAAAAACGTATGTGTCCTCTTAGATGGCTGCTTCTCATCCTTTGTTATATCTAATAAATACATTAATCACCTTGGAAAGAGAATTTCTAGTCTTTTGATGGCGGACAAAAGTGTGTATGAAATAAATGTCCTGCTTTACCCCTTTGATTTCTCTCACAGGAACATTTATTAACAGTAAGATTATAAAAATCTATCATACCTATCATGGCTGCAATGACATGCTTTTCTCTACATATCTAACGTGATCTTATGAAATCAACCACAGCTGGTCTGATATGAAGTGAACAGTAAATGAAAGCTCAGAGGGACCCTCTGTTTCAGTCGACAAAAGTCCATGCGATCTGAGTATTTAGAGTTGGCAAGAATGATTTGCAGTTTTTCATTAATGTGAAAACAATACTCTTGTTTGCCACTGTTGACAATCTTTACTGTATGATAACGTCGATCATAATGCATCATCATCCAGATTTTCATTTTATGGTTTGGGTTAAATAAAGCCGAACAGCACAACTCGTATTTCATCCCAGAAAGCCAAACAGACATCTTTACATTTAAATGGTATAAATCAATGATGTTGATGGAGAGCTACAAATGAGAAGAAATCTTAGCTCTGTAGGCATACCATAAGTATTTTACTGTATTAAGGACAGGTTATGTTTATCACAAAGCCTTATGTACATCATGACTTTACAAACCACTGGTTTTGAGTCTCTTATTGACCGCCTTCTGCAATGTTACCTGATATCTGCCTTGTGTTATGTTGTTTATTCTGCTGTACATTAGTTTTGCAGAGTGCCACGTGTAAGATTTTTAAAATTATAGAGTAAAAACAATACTTTTGAGTGGTGTTTGTCTTAGTTATTTTAAACAACTCAGCATGATTGATTGAAAGCTTGTGTAAAGGAGATTTTGTACAGTTTGCTGCAACTGCCACACGAGGGAGCTCCAGGTAAAACAGATCTCGCTCAACAAAACTGTCTCAGCCTGATGTGAACTGGCTCAGGTCGCCTGAGATCTAATAATCAGTCCCACAGTTAATGTCCTCCACTTAGTCGTAAGTGCAGATGATTCAGCTTCTCTGGTCTCAGTGTTATTCACACAACAAATCTGTTTGGGGGACAGGGAAATGGCTTCAGCCATAACAACAGGGTGACACTTCTGGGAGATCAAAGGGGATCAAAGTGCATCAAAGGAGCTCACCTTGCCAGCACTGACATTTAGTAAAGTGGAGATAAAAGCGCTACTTCAAAAGATATACAGCAATTCAAACACGCAAAGTGCTACAGTGTGTTTGTCAGGTGTCTACGGCGCATCTCTCTCTCATACGCACACATCCATCCTCACACTCAAACATGGGCTATAGATGACCAGCAGATGACGTCCAAGTGCCAGGATATCTTAACAGCGAATCTAAAGGGCTCGTTTCCATCGTGCACATCAGCACCTGTGAGCTTTTACTCAGCACACTGACTGGACTGGACTTTGTCAAATGCTGCAAAATTGGACGAGTAAAGTAATTAAGCCTCAGTGTCCTGACCCGAAAAAAAGAGTGATCTTTCCCACAAAATACTGTTTCACTTATTTTAATGATTCTCAGGAACGTCTTGCTAAGAGATAGATTAGATCACAGGGAAAAAACGTTGAAACAAGTCTGTGGGGGAAGAGGTGACATGATCTGGCTTGGTTGGCAGATTTAGGTCACAATCCCACTTTTCAGGTTTAAATTTGAACACTTCAAGATAAATCTCTCCTTAATGGGGCCATTTCTTGCAGTGGACGATCCAATAGGGTCAGGGAGCAGGACGGATCACAGTTGCCTTTAATCTCAAAGTGCCAGTCAACCCTGAAAGGCCTCGCCACGGAAGTCCATTAATTCGGTAAACTTTTCACACCCCTTAATGGTCTGCATATCCTACACATTGATGTCCGCCACTGGTGTAATCAAGCACACTTTGGAGGATAATTGCCCCCTTTGCAATCAGAAGGATCAAATGAAGTGGTTAATCGACACAAGTAACTTCAATCACTGTCATCACACAGCCAAAGGGCAGTTAGGCTACTTGAATGTCAAAGAAACTGGAATAACCAAACCGCTTTTATAGAGAGGGGTAACGGAGTTTATGAAGAAAGAAACGCACTAAATCCCACATTGTGAGGAATACTGGTGAGCTTTTACTACAGCTATAAAGCAAAGTCACTTCACAAATAAATATTTTGTAGCATATACAATTGTTCTTATAATTACACGTATAATAGTTTGAACGTCATTAAAATGAAATATAGACTATTAATAAACGGTGAACTGTTGGCATCAATATTTTTTTTTGGAAAAACAAAGAATAATAGAATAGTCGACTAAGTGGTCTATAAAACAAGAAAATTACTTTTTAACAAGTTTGGTCTCATAATCATGTTTTTTGTTTGAAAACAAGATAATTAAAATCATATCATAATACTGCTAGCTCCGTCAAGTAGTAAGACTATCACATTTGTTTTCCACAAGGTGTTGAGACAAAGTCACACAACTGGTAGACCTTGACAAAACTACATTTGTTTTGAGAAAAAAAATGGGGTGCATATTTAATTTATTCACTTTTTTTAATTTTTGTATCAAAAATGTTATTTTATACCCTACCAAGCAGATTGAGTGGCTAAATCCTTACTGTGGATATACTTTATTTCCAGTTTGCGTCACTAGGTGATGGGCATTCAGACAGACTTTGCAGGTCATTATCATTACACAAACATTGTGAAACGCAGTCCTGTGCAGGGAGAATAGAAGGCCATTTCCGTACAGTGGGGCTCTCTTTGAAATTCCACCCTCCGCCTTTGTTGTGCACAGCGAGGGGCGGGAAGACAAACAGGTCCACATGTATAAAGAGATCATCCCAGGGCTGAGAGGCAGGAGACTTTCCAAGCATCGTGTCGAAACGCTGTGGAAACTTTGGGATTCAGGATTCAAGGCTACTTTGGACTTTGTCACTCGGTCGTTTTTGTTTTTCAGCAAAACAGAAGGGATTTTTTGTCCGTGTGTTTGCAGCACAACAGTGTTTACGGGGAGAATCATGCAGTTACCAGCGCATCGCTTCTTGGCTGTGTATCTCACGCTGTTTGGATACCTTGGGGACGTTTACGCGGGGACAGTCCTGACGAACTCCAACGCCATCAAAAACTTGCCCGGAGCTTCGGGTGGCAAAGGCACAAACACTGTCAGTCCGAGTCCGCGCACCTCACCCTCCGGTAGCGTGGGGCACAAATTACCCGTAGACACCTTGCAGGTAATTAACTTTCCCGTGCGTAAAAGTCAAGCCTGTGCGCCACGAAAAAAAGCTGCGATTAAGTAAGTTTTATAGGTAATATATCAACATTTCTATGACACGCTGCCTTTGTTCTTGTCATACTATAGCAGTCGGGTGTTTGCACGGATGATGAAGACTGCGGAGGTGATGAATTCTGCAACGACGTCCGAGGCGCCTGCCTGCCCTGCCGTAAGAGCCGGAAGCGTTGCGCACGGGACTCTATGTGTTGTGCAGGAAACCGCTGCAGTAACGGTAAGCAGAGGCATCCCATCCGAAATAAACACTAACATTGAGAAGTTCCTGTTGGTATTCTCATAGCTCGGGAAAGTTTGCTTGTAGTCAGAATCTTGCATGCATATTCACTGATATCCATTCATTCTAATATGCCCATGTGGTGGATAACTTGACATCTACTGTGGTAAATACATACCCTAAATGCAGTTTTTCTTTTGCCCTTTGACCTAGGTGTTTGCCAAGCAAATGATATAGATGGTACTGATGCATCCATCATCACCGGCTTGCCCAAACAAAACAACACCATGGAGCATCAGGCCAAGAGGCCCCCCACTGCCCATGGCCATCAGCCACATGCTGTGAAAGGTGAGTGTCCTGCAAAGAATCAGCAGGCTTTACTGGGTTCAAGTAACAACCCAAGAGACTTTCATAGAGGTCTGTTTCATGCAACATGTTTTCATCACTCTCTTCCTTCTGTCTCCAGGCCAGGAGGGGGATACTTGCCTGAGATCTGCAGACTGCTCAGAGGGTCTGTGCTGCGCCAGACACTTCTGGTCTCGCATTTGCAAGCCTGTGCTGACGGAGGGCCAGGTGTGTACACGCCACCGCAGGAAAGGCACCCACGGCTTGGAGCTGTTCCAGCGCTGCGACTGTGGTGACGGTCTGGCTTGCCGACCAGAGAAAGGAGAGCGAGACCAAAGTGTCAGCAGGACTGCAGCCCGGAACCTACACACCTGTCAGAGACGCTGACATAAACGCGCGGACACACAGACAGAAATACACTCTCACACAGACACAGACACACAACCAGCAAACCCACATATCAGTGAGACACTGACCAACACTTCTCAACCTTGCATACACCAGAGATGCTGACATACAGACATAGACACCCAACACCTAAGACATTCTTTCCTGCCAAAGTTGCTGACTCAAACACAGCACCCGGAAGGATAGACATTATCCCTGGAAAAGTGATACACCCAGAGGGATGCAACAGTGCAAGGCGGACTGATCCAATTCCCCATCAACAGATGAGGAGTCGGAAGTTAGGAAGTGACATCTCAGAAGTCTTTGGAACATCGATTCATTTTCGTCGGTAATGGCAGAGCTGTTTTGTTTCTCTTTTTATGGAACTTCAAGCCTCAGTTATTGCAGTAAATTACTGTATTGTAAATATTATCCTGGAGGTGGCACTTAATTGAGCTATTGAATTCTGTCAACACCAGTATTATAAAGACATGGTGCTGCATGCATTGTAAATGTGTTATATATATTGTTTTATAAGAAAATGTTATATATAGAAAATTTGAATATATTTGTTTTATTAAACATCATGTGATAACCTTACTCCTTCTTTCTGCCACTCATTTTTGACAGTATTTTTTCCCCTGCTCCAAAGCGTTACAAAAGAACAAAAATGGGGGAAACTGTTTCAGTGAGGATGTGTTGAATGTAATTTCTCCTGCAGTACTTAGAGTCCGAACGATTTAGTCCAAATATTCACTTAAAGGTTGGTACGGTACGGGTGGGAAAAGTTTTCTGGCAAAAAAACAACCATCCCCCTCTGGAAAGCAAGAGTTATTTGAACAATCACTCAGTGGTGTTTAACTCAGAGCCCAATCAGTGGTTGAGGCTGAGTAGATGGTTTAAATGTTTGGCCCAGATATGCTTCTCAAACCCATTATACACAATTGCTGAGATATGTGCAGACACACACTCACAGAAAACATACTTACAACAAACATACTACTTTAATGAGTCATTACTGGAGCCTCAACAGGCCACATCCTGCTATGGAGGCAGAGGATGGTCCATCAGGGCGATGTCAGTTGAACATTAAAAACAGGACAGGATGCTGCTATATCAAATGATAACTGCAAGAGGGGTAATAAGTATGTGTGTCCTGGTGAGTGTTTGCCACCTAACCCTTTGGTGTTGCTGGCTACTTTCTAATTATAACTTCCCGGCCTTCATGTGCAGCAGAGCAGATAGCTAGCTATCCAAGCTAAAGCCTCTAATTACTTCATCTTACTCAATCTACACTAGAATTCATGAAATGAGGTGCACCGCAGGACTTTTGAGTTTTTGTGATGCAACTCGAGAAAAAAAAGGGATCTTGGTTCTCAGTCTTTCCTGTTGCGCAGCACATCCCATTTCCCGGCTGTTGTGCAATGGATGTGCTGTAATGTGTAGGTTATGAATCCACCCAAATACACCTTGGTGTCTGTAATTAGACCTGTTTAGATTAGAAGATGGTGAGGAAATTACTGTACTTTCTGCTCGATTCTTGTGTCAGATCAAAAGGATCATGAGACTCTCTTGATATCTGACCTGGCCAGATAACCTCTTTATCCGTTTTTACATCCATAGACATTAAATTGAAGCTTGTCTGCGGAAGACAAGGTGAGGTTTTGAGTGTCATTGAGGATCAGCCATAATGACCCTATAAAATACAATTCAATGTTTAACAGCACATAAGACTACCAAAAAAGTACAAACAATAGTTAAAATTTTCTGTTTACATGTGCATCAGGAATAATAACACAATAATATAATATATGAACATGTAACACTGCCAGGAGCCATTCTGCTTCCAAAATGGGAACAATACTTATAATAGCATTATAATACTTTACAGTTTTGCTGATTATACTTTAAACTATCACTGAGGTTACTTGGATTTTGAATGCAGGACTTTAGCTTGTAATAGTGTTTTTACATTGTGGTATTGTTACTTTTGAATAGTTGTTGCGCCACTGTTGAGAATAGATGCATTGACAAGGAGGCAGGCAGACATACAGAGAGACACACTCCATTTAAACAATTTAGTGTCCATTCTTCAGAGTAATTAAGAGTAATGGGAGAATTGTCAGCAGTACAGTATACCATGCAGGCTCAGCCAAGTCATGTTTGTGGGGGTCCTGGAATCTTTGTGTGTGTGCGTATGTGTGAGCCTGTCATCATTACGCCAACCACAGACTAACACTGGCCACAGGCATGTGCCCAAACTCAAGGAAGGCCAGGGTGAGTGTGTGTGTGTGATACACAAACATAGCTACAGTACATTTAGTGGAATCCAGAGAAACAATAGCAACAACAGCAGCATCCACGACAACACAGACACACACACACACACACACACACACACACACACACACACACACACACACACACACACACACACACATGCCCCCGCATGCCACCGAACAGCTATTACACATATACAAACACATTTACACATGTCCACACATGTCCACACTCACACCCACACACCCTTATATGGGTGAAGCTTGGGGTGTGAGAGGTTTGGAGTGACACCACACTCGCCCACACAATGGCATCCTAACCAGCAACATTTTGTATTGTCATACCACAAGAATGAATCAGCATTTCCACTCGACGTGCATTTTCATGCTACTGTAGACTTTCAAAAACTGGAAAAATGTAACTACAACAAACATTTATATCAGCATCAAGTATGCATGCTACGATTCATGACAATGCTGAATTACACTTGTAAAGTCTGTTTCCATTCTATGCATTTTATGTTTATTTTGTTTGCATAATCCAAACTTCAAATGAACCAGACTGTGATCTGACATTTATCAAGTGTATTTTGATAACACTTAACGAGCAATAAAACCCACAACGTATTTGTTTATACTGCTGTTCTAAAATCTGCTATCTCCCCTCACAATCTAAGAGTTACAATAAAGCTTTTCTCTGCTTGAGTACCTGGCATATCTGCCATTGTTATTCTAACAGCGCTGCCAAACACCCTTGACAGACATCCCTGAGTTAACAAACCCATGAGTGAACCATCAGAGATGAAAGGGTAAAGAAATGAGGCAGTGTACACAGAGGCAATGCATGTTATTTTGTCAGATGAAAGAGATGGCATACTTCTTGAATGAGCATTCGGATCAAAACCAAGCTCTTATGTAAACAAAATTTCACAGGGAGGTGTCAGACTTCTGGGTGCTGGCAACAATCACTTCATAGAAAAGAAGCACAATGCTCACTATTCATCTTTGTGGGATGACAATCTGCCTGATTGAGCAATAAGGGGAAATCTATCTGTCCTTGGGAAATAATAATTAAACAAAGGACAACTCATAGAACACAATGCGTTGAGTGTGTGAATGCAGGTGGAGAACAGGTTTACTCCACTGATCTAACTACTCGGTGATGTAAACACAACAGGGGAAACAAGGGTTTTCACAGAGTGAGGTGATGACGTATTGCACTTTAATTGGGTTTCAAGTTACGTTCCAGGTAATTCACCGGTGACAATTGTTTTCACTCACCTCCTGTGTATGTGTATATTGTATTTCCCCTCTCTTTGCCTCTGTATTTGCACAGATTTGAGCCCAATTTAAAGGCATAAGCTTTCTTTCCAGGGGTGAGATAAGAAGATCAACATCACTAATGTCTGAGTGTTGCTAAGCTGGAGTCAGGATGTCTTTAGCTTAGCATAAAGGCTGGATGCAAGGAGGAACAGCAAGCGTGGCTCTGGCACATGACACACACACTGGAACATTTGATTGTGTGTTGGAGGCATTTCATGACAAAGAATACTTTATCCATTTGTTGAGCACTTCTGTGCAGTGTCTCCAGCTACGGTGTAGTTTTCCCATATACAGCTAGTTAGCACAGGTTTTGTTTTGGTCTTTGTACAAAGCACAATGGCAACAACAAGACGACAAGACGAGATGCTACACCCAGTGACCGCACCTGGCAGGTGTTCATCAAGGTCTAAAACCACAAATCGTTGAACAAACAAGAAACAATGTGTTGATTCATCTTTAGAAGTGTTGTTGGCATATTTTTGGCCGGACCACAACAGCGGGGCCAGCCCTATAATCTGGAATGTCTCTGACTGACTGACTGAGTGATCATATTTCCACCATTGGTCAGCCGAGTGCCTCATCACTAAGTTGAAGTTTCTGGTGCAAACAGGTTCTATTAGGGGGTGTTTACAGCCTGCAGTGTTGCCAACTTAGCACATTGTCGCTAGATTTAGAGACTTTTTTCGAACAAGACTGGGTATAACACTGGGACAAGGCTGGACCATGTACGGATGCCAACCAGGGGCTTAGGGCTATGCCTCTTGTTATGGGCAGTCTACCAAGCTGCTCTGGTTTCCTGGCTGTTCGGGAACTGCAGGGAAGTGGAGGAGCACTTCCAATACACTGAGCCTAGCCTCCATTATGGCAAATACACTACTTACATTACACGTATAATCATTACTAAAGGAGGCAGAGGAATAACTAAACATCTGACACACCGAGCAGAGAGAGCAGGAGAGTGATCACTAACTGCTAAAGAAACTAGCAGATCTGAAGAGCATGTAAACAACAGAAACGTCAGCAACCGGAAGAAATGTTAAGAAATAAAGGGTTTCTGCCCACTGAAATGCTAGAGGGCTTTTAATTTGAGACAGACTAGAGACAGACTTGAGACAGACTGTGCCAGACTATTTCTTCTTGCATATGACTCCCCCGAAAGAAGCATAATTTGGGAAATACGCCTCTTTCAGGGAGTGAGAGTGTTCTTTCCAAAATGTTGAACTGTTCTTTTAAAATATCAGCATCATCCTTGTGAAACATTTCCACTTAATCCGTGTGTGGGTCTCTCCCAGTGGGGACCTTGAGGCCCAGCCTGTCTCTCGCTGTTATCCCAGGGACAGTGCTGTGACACTGGGTTCACTCGCCAGGGGAGGCTCATGGATGACTGGTTTGATCCATCCTCATGTTCCTTCCATCTGCAGCTGACACCTCCTCTGTGGTTTCAGGTCTCTCTCTGATGATGTCATACCATGTTTGAGTCCCCATTTACCACATGAAGGAAACGCCGCTGCTCTGACTTCAGCTGTTAAGACCCAAGGTTTGTAAGTGTGTTGGGCTAAAACAGAAACAAGTGGTTGTATTATGTTGAGCAAAATGCCTGTTACAGTAACACTGAATGAAAGAGATACCTGACCACAATACCCTGTGTTTTGTTATGCTCTGCTGCCTTCTGAACTCATGCACTCATGTTTATTTTCCCTTTGCTGCTTGCTTCTATGTGCAAAGCCAGTGGTGGCGGGGCACAAGGACCATGTAGGCACTTCACTTCATTCCCCACCACCTGTATCCTTCAGGTGGATTCTCTCACTCTCTCCAGTCCCACCATGTGTAACATATCCCAGTGCTTACACAGCTGTGACCAATTCAGTGCAAACAAACAATCTGCCCATTGTTTATACAAATAATA